TACCATACAATGCTTGTTACGAAATACATTGCAGATTTAAATAAAACAAAATATTGACTTATTTATGTTTGGAAAAAATAATCTAAATCTAATCTAGTTTTATACAATAATGCATTCTAGAATCCTTTAAATATTAAAGTTTTTAAATACAGTGTTATACTGAATCATCTCTTTTTTTTATTAGCTAAGACTATTTATAAAATTCAGCTGACATAAATCGTCTGTTCTTTACTCGTTTCTTTACGCTATTTGCAATCCGTGTCAGTACAATCAACTCTTGGCTTTTATTTTCTGTCCAAATATTCAGATTCCCGTTTATTTTTAAAATTTTTTGCCTTTTTATCTGCTTAAAAGTAATATTCGAAATACTTGCATAAAGAAGAAATAGAGCAGTTAAATAAATATGTTTAGTTAGTTACAGGAATTGTATTCTGCAGCTACCATAGAGATATAAGGATAGAGTGCGCTAGAGGCTGAATACAGCGATACGGTAAAAGAAAGAGATGGTTGCCGAGTGTCCTCTCCATCTCTTTCTAGCTGAGCGCTGTGATTGGCTGATGCTCAAGAGGCAATAACCTATGTCAGTAACTGCCGCTGACGACCAGAATACCCCCTTGAGCAGCAGCCAATCACAGTGCTCAGATAGAAAGATATGGAGAGGACACTCAGTGACCATCTCTTTCTTTTACCGTATCGCTCCCCCTTACGTACATTATAGACCGATCAATCGAGCATGACGGATAGGTAATTTATCAAATAAATGCCAACCATGATATCTCAGAATAATGGTCTTCGTTATGATGTTTAGAAATAACGTATCTAAATTCCAATAGCTAGTTTTTTCTTTTTTTTTTTTTATGAGCTGCTCAAGGACAGAAAAACTTGTTTTTGCTTCTATGAAATTTCCCTTACATTTTATAAAGAAATGTCTTATACAAAAATTGTAGGCATTTTAAATATCTACAAAATGAGGCCTGTTGCGTTAAAATTCATTTCGGATTTTTTTTATAAATTACAAAAAACAGTTCAAAATCGCTGTTTTTTGTTTGATTGTTTAAACAAACAGTTTGTAATGTAGACATCTGAAAATTGTATGGACTATTGTTTATGACGTATAGTATATGTAGTTTTTTTTTTGAATTTTTTGGTTGCATGTTTTTAGCAAAAATCCATTTGTTTATTAAAAAATCACTTTTTTGCAAATTAATTTCTACAACTTTTGCAAGTCGTTGAATGTTCTATTTGGGCTCATTTTCTTTCTTAAGAGTTGTACTTTCAGTTTGGTTTTATGGCTTATTGATTCTTCCAACAGGGACCTCGCAAAATTGATTGCAAAAAAGTGCTTACCTGCAAAATGGAATAACTCAACAAATATTAAGCGAATCGTTTCGAAACTTTTTTCATTATAAAGGCACAATTTTTCTCTAAATGTTTAAAAAAAAAAGAGTGTTCTACAACCAATAGGAGCCAAGAAAATTTTTTTTTTTTTTAAATTTCCTGTCGCTGCATTTTACAACCTATGGGGCTGAAATTTTCAGAGAATACAGTTTAATAGTTAAATTTTCAGTAAAAAAATATTTCGTATTGTTTTAGTGATACATTTTGTAGTAAAAGCAATGTTTATGACTACGACAATTCAGTCGGTAGGGTAGAGATAACTGGCATCAGATGCTACGAGAAATGAGCACGGACGTTTCAAATCGTGCGAGCTGGAAAAAATGTTGATATCTCGGGTTCCCGTGGTCACACAAAAAGTTATAACCAATCGATTTGGGGTAGCTCGACGAGATAAAATCAGATAACGTATTTGTTTTTATCGCAAATGACGTTTGAACGCCTTAATTGTTATTAATTTTACTTACAATACTTTTACACCCATTTAAGCAGTTTCATTTTGTTTTCTTTCTTATAGGTCGTCGATCGAAACGGTGTTTCATCAGTATAATTCAAAGTAATCTTTAGCTGTATTATGACCGAAAAAATTAAGCANAACTAAATACCAACGTTATAATAAAATGCTAATTCACTAATGTATAATTCTTTAATCTATGAATTATTTATTATGGTCGCTTTTAAAGATAACTTTTAGCTATAAATAGAAACATTATTGTTAGATTTTTTCTGTAAAATGAGATCTTCTAAAAATCTGAGATCTTCTAAAGATGACTGAATCTTTTTTAATGTGATAAAAATGTCAACTGTAATTAATGGTATGTCAATGTTTGTAAACATGTATAACTTTATGTTTTAGTAATTTACTGCATCCAGTTTCCCGAGAAATAAGTCGCTACAATGGAAACAAATTCGTTGAATAATTTAAGCTATGATATTTTGAAAAAAAAGTATTAACTTGTTTTTTATATTTATATAAGGATCCGTATATTTTCAGAAAAGCTGTCGATAAAATAATGAACTTTTCAAATAATTCACATAACTTGTTTTTTATTCCATTTATTCAGCAAGAGATGCAAGATCCAGTAAAGTCCCTAATAAAATTGGACTCACTCGATAAAACTCGATTTGTCCTTGAAAACTGCAAAAATACATTTAACAATCATTTAACGGAACATCTAAGACTGATAACTTATAAAAAAAAATTTGTACCTACCTCCCATACAGGTGAAGATAGGGAAAGAGCAAGTACACGTCACACCTGATGATGAAGTGAAAATTAAAATGAAATCTGTTTCTGCTGCTCACGTACCATTGCGTCTCAGTTTTAAAGAATTTTTTTTAGATTCCACATATGTTTAACCGTATTAACAAGTAGAAGAACCAACTATCACAAGAAAAAGTAAAAATATCGAACATTATTCAGGAAGAATTGTGGATAAAAAAATATCGTAACAACAATAAAATAGTTCACCCTTTTTTCATCAACAAAGATGAATTTGAGTGCAGAAATCCTTGAGGAAGTTGAGCAGGCAATAAAAAATTATGTGGAGTGGATGCAGCCCTCACTTGTTAACCTCCTATGTGAAGTGCTCAATTGAATAATATATTTATTGCAATATTATTTTATTCCGAGCATTTAAAAGAATTTGACAATAAAGCAACTTTCAAACGTATTATCAATCAAAAAAATTATTTATCTAAATGTGGTATTACCATATTATTAAACGGGAAGGAATTTAAAATTTATTTTAAATGTATCCTAATTTTGGTAGACAATTTAGACCTCCATATCTTGTGCGAGTTTTAAAATAATTTTTTAGCTAACCAATATTGTAAAATATGCCCTGCCCCAAATAATAAATGTAAGACAATGATAACAGAAAATGGAAATTATTTGAGACCCATAGAATTATGCGAAAAAGCTATTAAAAGATAACAACTTGGCAAGTATCGGGATGAGAGAAGTTTGTGTCTTCGATCGTATCAAGAAATCTAATATTATAGAAAAGGTTACAGGAGATTTGATACACGATGTGTATGAGGGTGTGGCAAGTTAAACTATAAGTAAAGTATTAGAGGGCTTTATACAAAACAAAATAGAAAGTAATTAACCATCGCATTAAAAATTTTGAATGCAACAACGCTGTAAAAAAAATAAGCCGTAGCTTCTTGCTTTCATTAAAAGTAAATAAGGAAAGAAGAAACTAAAGATTAAGCAATCCACAGCCGAAATGTTATCTCTGAGTCGATATTTAAAATTAATGATTGGAAATTTATCTCCGATTGGTATCTGCGATTGAGAAAGATAACTGGTGTACTGACATCTTCTATTGTGATTGGAGAACAAATTTTGAATTTAAAAGACTTATTATGAAGCATAATAAAAGGTATTTTCAATTTACAAACAAATGAAAGTCTAAAACGCACTTTTTCTGCATTACGTACAAATATTGTTGGCTAACGGACCACCAATTCACTTTTTGGCAAATTAATTTTAAAGAGAAAACAGAGTGTTGAAGCAAATTGTTGTTGGAACGACCACTAATGTTAATTTATCGATAACAATTGCTACAAGACATCAATTAATATTATGCAGTTCCTTTGTGTCTCTAACTAATTGTAATGTGGATGTTGAACCTGGACCAGCACATAAACAGAATGCCTTTTCTATGTTACAATATCATTTACCAGATCTCTAAAAACGCGTAATAGTTTAAACATTAAAAAACAATTTAGTTCTTAGTAAGCTTTTTGATATTGCAAGGTTATTTATAACATATTATGTTGTGGGCCAATTGTGTATTTTCAAGCTTAAAAATTGCATACGTTGTAGTTTAATAATTGTTTTTATGCGTATAAAGTAAATTAGGAAAAAAATTAACCATATTTACAAATCAATGTTTCGCAAATTATAGAAACTGCTCAATGTCTTAGTATTTTTCAGAATAGTACGAGATTCGTCGCAACTAGATATGATATATAAGATTTGAAATAAGTTTAATGAACAATAACATAAAAAATGTATAATTTTATTTTTTTTACTCTTGCAGTAACTATCTTAAATATTGCAGTCGCATTTTCCGGTTATTGCATAAACAAGTATATCTTTGAAAATTATTTATTTATTTAATAATAATTGATCTTTAACGTACTTCGCTGGAAATTTGTTATGACTTTCTCTTTGGAATCATTTCCTCGCTTATATATCTAAATGTACATTAACACATGAACCTCCAGCACACAATGTATATACCTTCACAGATGTGTATCTCTAAACTGTATGTGTATACTTATACACAAACTCTTTACACTGCATTAGAAAACGCAAAAGTCTGATAGAAAAAAGCCAGTGGCCCTTATGCGTTTGCTTCGTGGCTAGCAGGTACATCTTTACTTCATTAAAGTACTAGTGTTCAAGCTACAGACTGCATGTAGATGTCGCATGACTTCGTATACGCTTTTGTCAAGTCACTTGTCACGGAATGATGGCACCTATCCCTAGTATTTAAGGCATAAACATCATGATCCAATCGCATAGGTTTATGAGAATAAGGCTATTTTCATAGCCACTATGCGTTTGTTCCATGATTTTTCTTTCTGTGCAGGGCCACGTTTGAAGTCATCAAGGAAGAACATGGGGAACGCAACAAGATTACCAGCCCTTAATTACAAAAAACTAAAAAACAGAAAGCCGATGGTCAAGACAAATTTGACCGTTTTTTCAGTCAGCCTGGACGATCTGTCAACCGGTGTGGGTGTATTAAAGTCCGACATTACAAATATAAGGGATACCATCATGGTAGGGTATCAGGAGGTAGTAGCCAAGTAACATGTTACTTATAAAATAAGTAAAATTTTTGGTAATAAATTTCCACTGATTACCAACTACCTGTGGTCATTACTTGAAACGGAAGTGTACGAATGTGTTGGCGTTAATGGGAGAAGCGCGGTGACAACAATAAGAGAAGAGCTTTCAAAATATAAAAACGTATAAAAGTACCTGTTTTTTTTTTGCGTGATTTTTTTTATACATAACATTTAAGCAAAAGACAATTAAAGCAATATAATGTATGAATTATAGTATATAAATAAATGACAGAGCTAATAGGTGTTCAAAAATTCATGAATTGAGTCCATATGCTAAGTGGCATTATATCACGTCAAAGCAAAATCCAGCTGATGTAGCTTCTAGAGGTGTTCTTCNACAATGTATGTACCTACACAGATGTGCGTCTCTAAACTGTATATGTATACCTGTACACAAACTCTTTACACTGCATTAGAAAACGCAAAAGTCTGATAAAAAAGCCAGTGGCTCTTATGCATTTGATTCGTGGCTAGCAGGTACGCCTTTACTTTATTACAGTACTAGTGTTTAAGCTACAGACTGCATGTAGATGTCGCATGACTTCGTATACGCTTTTGTCAAGTCACTTGTCACGGAATGATGGCACCTATCCCTAGTATTTAAGGCATAAACATCATGATCCAATCGCATAGGTTTATGAGAATAAGGCTATTTTCATAGCCACTATGCGTTTGTTCCATGATTTTTCTTTCTGTGCAGGGCCACGTTTGAAGTCATCAAGGAAGAACATGGGGAACGCAACAAGATTACCAGCCCTTAATTACAAAAAACTAAAAAACAGAAAGCCGATGGTCAAGACAAATTTGACCTTTTTTTCAGTCAGCTGGACGATCTGTCAACCGGTGTGGGTGTATTAAAGTCCGACATTACAAATATAAGGGATACCATCATGGTAGGGTATCAGGAGGTAGTAGCCAAGTAACTCAACATTAGAGAAACCATATGGGAGTCGGAATAACCTGACATATGAAACTTCCTCGAAGCTCTCAAAATGAACGAAAAGGTGCGTCGCAAGAGTGAGATAACAAATAATTTAGTTCTTCAAGGATTGAAAACGAAATCAGGCAATTGTCCAGAGGTGATTCACAACCTCATACACCAGAAACTGAAACTTAATGTTGATTTAGCTGAGATTACATGAATTGGGCTTATGAGTGCCAGCATTCTTAAAATTAAACTCACTGTAGTAGAAGACAAGCATTTAATTCTGCCCAGGAAAAAAATGCTTACTGGCAGCACCCTATCACGTTCTGGCGAACTCACTAGGAAGTAACGTATAGTTGGGAGAAAGCTCGTCGATTTTGCTGCAGAAGAAAGAAGTAATGTAAAGAACGTGAAAGTTGTCTGTGTAAAGGTCTATGTTGCCGGCAAAGTTAAAATGTGCAAGACAGGACACGGCTTGTAGATAACGCTTTCTTATAGCGCTCTTACTCCACGTGGCTTTTTCTTGGAGTCTAAAGCTTAAACCCCTTTTGTAATGCCATATCTGAATCCTTATGTTATAATATATTGCTTTTTTAAAGGTATTACAAAAGTAATTCTACATAGAATTTCTTCATTTCTCTCAGGTGGGTAGCTTTTATCGTGTTTGCATGGAAAGATCCACGTGCCATGATTAAAGTTGTACTTACAAATTTTAAGTGACAAGCGTTTATTGACTTAATTCATAGGTGTATGACTCTCATGCCATGTTGTTCTGAGCTTCACTGACCTATGATCTATGACAATAAGATGGAATGGGATTTTCCCACGTCTAGAGTGGATGCACCTTAAGGCTTGTGATTGATCAGTAATTACTTTCTAGTGTCTAACTGTCTATGATACCTGCATATTTCTTGATTGAGGGTAAAGACATGAAAAGGCGTTTTGTCGTTTACGTGAGGTATATTGGTGAACAGAAAAGTTGTTAGTAGAGTCTTATCTGTAAGAATAGGTGAATCAAGGTCATATGCTACTTCGAATCAGGAAACTAAAGGTTTACCTACTCGACAATCATAATAAATCTTTTCTTTATAACCAGCCGTATATGTCAAAATTTTTGTCTCAAAAAATTTTAATTTTTACTTACTTGTGGAAAAAGGCTTACATATTTCAATACTACAAAAAATAGATCAAACAAAAAAATTTGTCAAACTGTGTAAAAACTGTGTTAATGGTTCATAAGGTTCGTGCCCTCGCCTTCTCTTTTTCTCTCTTAAAGTACAAAATACAATGTCATTTATCTTTTTTGGTAATAAAAAATTAGTAAGTATAGTTTTATTTATGTGATTTTATCAACATAGATATAAGATTAGGTCAGGATCAAAAATCTATGAATTTTTGTTATTGGTCGTCGCCGTAGAGTTATAATCTCTTCTTGTGCATTTAAGTCATGTCAGAATTCTTTGCTTAACAATTTGAAACGTTTTTATTTGATTAGTTATTATGCTGGAAACATATTGTGTAGATATTGTGAACAAATTTATGTAAAATTAGGTAAAGATCAATGGTAAATATGTTTTAAAAAAGTTTTTTAAGCATAACTATAATAATAGAAAAAAAAAAAATACTCTTGGTGAATTGACACCATGATGTTTGTGACCAGAAACAAATGTCCCGTCGTCGGGATACGGGCTTCTTTGTTTGTAAATTAAACCTTATTACTTGTTTTTAAAATACCTTTTTTTCACTACAGAGGCAAATTACATGTAAAATACTTATTCACTCAAGTACGAATCTTCGCTAGCAGTAATCTGTTATCACTGTAGCAATGAATGAATTCCTAATAAACTCTTTAAAAACACTTTTTGTGTACGTGTTGTATCATAAGCTCACTCAATCACAGTGCATAACACATACAATATAATAATGTTGAATTACATTTAATTACTACCTTTGAGAAATCGATATAGTAACAAAATAAATATAGATTTTTAGTAAGTATTGTCCAATTAAGATGAAATAAATCTTACTCCATGATAAATAGATCTGCTTTTATAATTATTGGATTATTTAATTAAATGGATGGCTTTGGTACCCGTTGTACTCTGTAGCTCAGTAGTTGAGCTGTCAGCTAACATGTGGAGGGCCCAAGTTCAAGAGTTAGCTGCAATTTCTTTCAAATACATTATTACCTTTTTCACATATAGAGAGTACATAATAAATTTATAAGAAACTATAATATATTATTAGAACATTGCTTGTTGAGTTTATAAATTCATAAATAGTTCATATTCTAATCATATAATAAAATTTAGATGATTTCATTAAATTAACATGACTGCGAAATAAATTCATGTGTAATAGTTTTGGCTGTTTTGAAGACGCCTACTGAAACAATAAATACTGAAAAACTCATCCTTACTTATAAAAAATAAGAAACCTAAAGAATTTCTATTAACTACTAGCTATGTTGTGTAACAAAACACAAATAGCCATGAAGATTTTGTTAGAAACATATTGACAAAAGAATATCTCAATATGCCACATTCAGAGTAATTTAAAGATAATTTAATAAAAGAAAAATAAATAAATAAGTCAACCTTCACTTTATTCGTTTATTAAAAACGTAACGGCCACTTTGGTACAACAGTACCTTTTTCAGACGTGTGTACGCTGGAAGAAAATTACTACATAAACTGGCTAGAAACTCGTCAACGTACATGCGTAAATAGGCTTATAACATCTTGACGAGTTTCTTGCCAGTTTATGTAGTAACTTTTCTACCAGGGACAACAAGACAAAACGATGTACTACACTTATATTCAAAACATATATACCCATATTGTCAAAGTTTCACAACAATGCAAAATTACATACAAAGATGTACATAGTCAACATAGGCACAATTACATACAGTACATATTTAGTAATGTTGAACTATTGAGATTCGAAATATCATTCAAAAAAATGTCTAAATTTGTTGATTTACTAATCTCTAATTTGTCTAATAAATCTAATTATTTACTTTTATAACGTGCGCGTAAGATCTTAAAATTTACATTTTAAATGTGTTTATATTCTGTTAAGTGGTTCGCACAACTAGAAGTATCTAAACTTTCTTTTTTAGCATTTTTGTGTAACGTTGATCTATATTCAAAGGCTCTACCTGTTTGTCCTCTGTATTTTCTATCGCAAGATCCACAGGTAAGTTCATAAACACCTGATTTATTTTACTTCTCTGTGTTGTCTTTGTTATTTTTTATAATTGTTTATGAATTTTCATTTGATTCAAACAAGATTTTTATACTTTATTTTTAAATTATTGTTGTATTTTACGTGTCAGTCTACCAGTGTATGATTTAACAAATTACTTATCTTCTGTTACGGACGAGAGAAAAACATTTTTTAAAGCTATTTTGTACTTAATTTTCTTAGCCATACTATACAGAGTGACCATTTTAACTTTACCCCCCCTCCAGAACCTAGCTTGGTGGTCCTAGGTGAGTGAAATGGATATCCCTTCAAGATAGAAAAATTATTTTCTCTGCAAAAATTTGTTGGTTGGATTCGATGCAATATTCGGCTTGTCCGATAATTTTTACATGGATTGACACTCTATAGGATTATTTATTACTCGATTATGTACCGAAAAAGTAAAAGTATTGATGTCAATCATTCAAACTATCACCTTGTGCAGTGACTTTTCGTTCTCGAAGTAACTCGAGTCACTAATGCTAACTTCGCTCGCAATGGCAGCATGTTGTTAACATTGCAACAAAAATTGTTGTTTGACGGTTAAGAGAGTAACTGTGCTACGTTTCAGAGAACTGTCTTACTTAAAGTAGTGTCTACGTATAACAGCTCCCTAGAAAGGTACAGTACTTTACTCTCTCCGAATGAAATTGTATGTCACGCACTTATGGTGGATAAGTAAGGTATGCTCTAGATTGCAAGTGTCTTGCAGCCCAAGACAAAGCCAAGGGTGTCAAACTGACGATCTGAGGGATTATTAATTTTTTTATTTGAGCGTATACAATTTTTCGTGCTGCTGCGGGGATTAAAGAGTAGCTTTGCTTTGTATAGCGGGAACCTGCATTTTTTGCTCCCCTGGTGCGAGAGGCATCGCTCTCTACACAGGCACCAACGTCTAATCTTTTATTTATCTTGACTTCTCGTGCTGGAACGTACGCCACTCCTTTCTCACCCTGTTCACGAGCACGTTAGGTTAGTGTAGCGATGCCCGCCACCCCCTCCCTGACTTTGATCACGACGCTAGAGTATAGAAGTGCCTGCCACCCTCCCTGTTTCTTACCACGTTGTGGTGGTGTAGTGCAGAATTTTATAAATTGACTTCTCAATTTTTTAAAACACTATTTAATTATTTTATAATTTGTAATGAGTTACTTTTACTGAAAATTTTTTCTTTCACAGTTCCACGTCACACCTCCAGCTCTAGACCTGTTGTAGCTATGCAAAAGTGTACGCTGCT